ATATATTTAGAAATACCTGGCTTGTTATAAATGTGTAATTTTAATGATTTTGTCCATATTTCCTTATTTTGGTTTGTAGTGTCAAAGTTTTTCTTGCATTGAAAACACAAATACAAATGATGCACTGTATCCTTGTAGACATCACACCAGCCTCAAGGTCAAACAGACAGAATTGATGAAATATTTTTGACGATTGCGCAAACAACTTTGAAGCGGTTTTTGCAGCTTTAAAGTTCTGACGTTTAAACAAAGCATTTCTTCCGCATCTTTATTGTAACAGAGAATGGTAGCAAACCTTAGCAAAAAAAAATAATAATAATCAAATGAAATTTACAATGTTCTGTTAGAAATTCAAGTTTTGACCTGGTATTCATTGAAACACTGTGCCAGTGTAAGTTTCACAGAGTAGAGAAAAATAAAACTAAAAATAGTCGGTGCACGGCAGTATTCTCTTGGAGGGCCTTTGTAGCTCAGAACAGAAAGACAGTCATGCACTAATCCAAAGTTTATGATGTAATTTGTAACTTCTTCAGTGATCTACAATATCAAGTTCAAGTCAAGTTTATTATCATCATATGTGGTACATGAGGTAGAACAAAAGTATGTACTCAAGGTACCAGTTACACCCAAAAATAGCAAAAAAACATAAAGTGTAAAAAGAAACAGTATACAAGGATCTAAAATATACATGAATAATGTAAAACAATATGGCTTATCAACAACAGCCCGAACATGATTCAGTAGCGAGCAGATGGGTATGAATGAATACAGCAGCATGAGAAAATCAGCAGCACAGATAAGTCACATATCACCAATTAAAGTGGCATTACAATGATTTTTTTTAATAATACATCAAACCCCACAAAGTATGTGATAGACTATGTAAGGATTTTAACATGAGCATTGTTTAAATCTTAACCAACAGTCACCAAAAGGTTGTTCAATAGTTTCAGGTAAGCATTTACAGTGGGTTGTAATGGTTTCTCAGCTACTACCACACAAAATGTTATCACAATTTCTATAGCATTTACGTAATTAAACCCTTTTCCATGTTTTTTTTTTCTAAGGTCAATTGGCTATGGAGGCAATCTAGAAATAAGTTAGCTTCAACAGAAGCCTTTACAAAATAACCAATTTTGTGTGGGGTTTTTTTTTAAGATTTTGGTAACTGACCAGCTAATGCACCCACACAGACACAGGGCAGCACATTATTGCTTTAACTTGGGGAGTGGAGGGTAAGTGTAGCCTGGTAATTGTTCTTTGTGTTGAATTTAACAAAATAAAATGAGCACTCAATCTCAAACCTGCTTCTGCTGACTTACTGGAAGTGCACAACGACGCCAAATCTCATTCATAAAACTATGGTAACTATAAATATCATAAATAACAAGAAAGTGGCCAAACAAGTGCAAAACTGTCTGCTAAACATCTTAAAGTTCAGTTGCTCCTTCTGGAGGTTACAGGGAGCTGTTGCACAGAGATGTGCACACACCATAGACCTGTATCTTCTGTATCACATACACTGTCACATCTTTTGCCAACATACTGTTCGCATCTTAGGAACAGATGGTAATCAAGACATAGTGCAACATGACACACACAGAGGCCAGCTGCTCAGCTGGTAAAGTCATAAATGAGTAAACTAATACATTCCTGGGCTTTTTGAATAAAAACGCTGCCAAATAGTCATCACAAGCCTCACTTTATAAGCAACTTGTTTGCTTTTTAGTGAGCAATGGTCAGTTTTCATTTGTAACTTCATAAATCTGATGGCACAGCTTAGAAAAGATGTTCTCCTTGATATTGAGGCTGTGTTTGGATCAGTTTAGTACGTCGAATATTCCTGTGTTTAGAGACGTTTTTAAACTACAACCTCGAGCAGATATGTTTGCAGTCTAACAACAGATCTGCTCCTCCCAGATGCCTTCATGCTTCAACATGTCCACCTCACAATCATCTTTTTTATTTATCTACAGTCCTTAATTCCTGCTCATCATCATGCTGCATCCACCCACCGACTCTTCAGAGCTGCCAGATGCAGCCTCGTCGTCTTTCACGACTCTTCAGTCCTGTTGCTAAACGTGTCTGATTAAATAGTTTTGTATTGTTGTTGCTTACATTTTGCAGCATACAGAGTAGAGAAATTTTAGTATTACAAATGTATAACCAAAGTTCAATGCAGTTTTTCAGTTATTTGGCTTAGTTTTATTGAATTCACTCACATCAATTCACAATTTCACCTGCTTTTCCATGCAGGGGAGCTGATGTCTGTTTCCAGGGGTCATAAATGAGACCTTGGACAGGTTGCCCGTCCATCACAAAGTCACATAGAGACAAACGAGACAAGCAGAAGTCTGTCTTTGTAGGAGTCGAGAGCAGAATGCAATGAAAACCTATAGTCATTATTCTGAATATACACTGCTCAGCCAACAAGGCTCTAGTTAAGCTAATAAGAGGGTGGCACACTTTTTACACACACTATCTGACATGGAGTAAAACTTTAAACAAATTTAAGAGGTAATCTGCTATTAAACTTCAAATATACTCGTCTTTGCTCGTCCAAATTAGAAATGAAATATTCAAACCAAAACAAAACATCACAGCAGGTGGTAGAAAATAATGATCACAGTAGCAGAAAAACTAAAATTATTCTCTTGAATAATTCACCCAAAAGCATTTAAGCAGAGGTGAGATTAAAAGCAAGCATTTAACTTTCTATTCCAAGGGGTGGTGGATTGGACCCAATTGTAAACAAACATGGAGGAGCTCAGAAATAATATGAAAACTTATTTATTTGCAATAACACAACAACAGGCTGACGTTGCAGCAAAACTTAAAAAGAAAAGATACTGGAGCACGAAACACAAAAGGATAGAGGTATACGGACCCAAACTTAATGAGCTACTGGAGAGGTGGTGACTGGAGACTGGTTATAGGAAACTGAGGGAGAGAGGAAAGTGGGGGCACCTGGGTAGATTGCAAATTGCTAATTAGGAACAGATGAGGGTGACAGACTGAAACAAACAGTGAGAAAGCTGACAGAGGGTAAATGGGAAATGTGAGGAAACAGAACAAGACTAAAACTAAAAACAAGTCTAAGAAATACAAAAACTCAAAAGATCTACACCGAACAACAGAAACACAACAGAACCCAATGGACAAAAAACAAAATCACAGAAGGCACAGATACAACACTTTCCACACGTCAAAAACTTCCAAGTCCTGCAATTATTTTAATAATCAGACAGAATACAATTTCATATTTCTGAAGTGTCTTTTCCTCAGAAGTGACAAATGAACTTTAGAAATACTGTATACTTCTCATCACAACAAGCCGATAGGCAGTGATTTAATACCAACAATCCTTGAGTCAGCATAGAAACTACAGAGCTCCAGAGTTTGTGACTGAAGAGCAAAAACATGAAAATTCCTTCATTCACTTGAGAAGCAAACATGTTTGATGACTTTAAGAGTAGAGATGCACGATATTGGATTTTTGGCTGATATCCGACATGCCGATATGTGAAAACTTATTTGCCTGATAACCGATACCAATATTTTTTTTCCTAGACCTACTTATATAGACTACACAACTTTGTCTGCTTTGGAATTAAAATACTACATTATTCTGCATGGTCTTTGTCAGTTTGGCCTGCTACCAGATGCAGATGCCAAAAAGGGGCAGAAAATGATGCAACAATTCAATTTGGATTATGTTTAATGTCAAATTTATTCATGACATCATCTCTCTCTAACACAATGACAACACTCGAACAGTCATACAAAAAACAGAGCCATATATGTGTACGTGTGTGTGTGTATATATACATGTATATATATGTAAACAGCGCCTTTTATATTGACAAGTTTTTTTTATGGAATGGCTAATGTCCGATATTTAACTTTATTGCTATATTTAACTTTATTGCTATATTTAACTTTATCGATAATATCGGCCGATACGATACCTTGCCGATAATATTGTGCATCCCTAGTTAAGAGAACAATCATCCAGATGTGATACCTGCATTTTGTTACATGTTTAAGAGGAAGCCAAAAAGTAGATTGAAAACATACCTATTCCACACAAAAGGATCTCAGCTGAGTTTTGATCCTGCAACCTTCCTGCTGTGAACTTCTAACCACTGTACCACCATGCCACCCCGACCGTGAGGATCTATGGTTCAGATGTTTATGTCAGTATGTTCAGGGTATGTTCGGAAGAACATTGAATGGCTGGCACAAAGTTTTCTGATGAGATTAAATGAGAAACTTTTCAATCAATAACTCACCCCTGTGAATAATATCCTCTCACTCTTTAAAAAAGATCTTGTTGATAATAGTGTGAGGGCCCTTTGTTAATAGTTGTTTTCTGCTGATAGAAAATGTTTCATGCTCCAGCAGCCTCTGCAGACCATTTATTATCTGGAACAAAATGTCAGAGCTCCTAATGTTGGTTCTATTGTTGGTGGGAGCGAGTGCTGATCAATTAGTGATCAGCACTTTTTTTTTGCATTGAAAGGCCTTTTGATGAACTTCAGCACAAAATATGAGACTGGGAAGAATGCTGACGATAAAAGCTCCTCTTTAACACTGACTTAGTTTGTGTAGCATCTGCAGAGCGTCAATATTTCTGTTTTGTGTGCAACCACTGGAGCATCCACAACAGCTATGTATCACAGATGTGGCTCAAACTGTACAGGACACCTGCTATTTTTGTAATCGCATGTTACGAAACTGGTGATTCCTTAAAAGTATTTTAATTATTTTTTTCCTTTTGCCTCACTACGCTTACAATGCACACCTTAAATGCTGTAATTAAATTTCAGCTTGTGCGTTAATTGTCCCTCGGGGATCTCTAACGTTTCGCTTCACTCTAAATGATCTAATCACGCCGTTGTCAGCTGACATGCCTCGTGCAAACACGCTCGCTAATTGGGTTTTTATGTGACTTGTTTGAACACAGCAGAGTGACATCATGTCCCGTTTCATCCCTGCAGGTTCATGTGGGCACCTCCCATCAGGAGCAAAGAGTTGTGGGATACCTCGCGTGCACACACCTCCACGCTATAGAAGGTAAAGTGGCATCCGCTCTTTGTGTGACTGAACGCTGATGTATTTCAAAGCTGCTCAGGAGGGGGTTGTTGGTGCAGAACCATCTCGGCGTCATGTCTCTGTGTGTGCCTCTGTGTACCGATAGATAAATGAGAGCGTCAAAACCCATGTGTCCCCTCCTCCCGCTGTTCCCATGGTGACCGCCTCAAGCTGTTTAAGGCGTCACAGCCCTATTTAAAGCCTCCGGTCCAAGCCACGCTCATTTTCTTACCAGAGACACATCCACCGTCACCACCCCCTCCTCTTTTTGCCTGCTATTCTGGGCTTCTCCTGAGCTTGTTGCGGGTCTAAATATAGCAGCACCAGTACCGTTTCTAAAGATACAACAAAGATAAACCCCTTAGAGGTAAGGGGGTGGGATGCACAAGTCAGGGAAAAACAGAGAGGAAAAATGTAGAGACCTGAGAAGACCTCGTGTGAGATACATGGTGCAAAAGAACTGGACAAAAACTCACCTTAAAATTGTGGCAGCTGCCTCGGTTTATAAGTGAGTTTAGATTTAGTGTATTTCAGGAACAGCTGCTGTTTTCAGGGCTGTCACTCAGACATTTCTGAACTGAGAACTTCTCTATACATCTCCGCAATCACTGCGTCTTTAACAACATTTATCAAAGATTTGCAAAGTGGTGAAGGCTGCACAGAAGACTGTTGGTGTCAGCCTCCCCACCATCACAGACATTTACACCTCCAGATGCAGGAAGAGGGCCACCTGCATCATGAAGGACGCCACTCACCCAGCACACACACTTTTTGCCCCGCTCCTCTCAGGCAGGAGGTTAAGGAGCATTAAGTTTAGAACCACTAGACTGAGGAACAGCTTCATTTACATTTTATTGTTGTATGTAACTGGGACCCTGTGTACATCATTTCATTCCACCACATGTACCACATGAATGACAAATAAAGAAACTCTGACTCACAAAACAAAATGAAGTAAATGCTTGGAAGCATTTTTGGTATTGGACTCTTACAGATGAAACACAACGTTTTATGTTTTTACTTTCATAATGACAAAAGTTACCACGGCTGCTGCTTCAAATGATGATATAGGCACAAAACATTATTTTGAATATATTTTTTTCACACTCAAAATGCAGCAGCAAACACTGTCATAATTAAAAGCCGAGCATGAATGCACATCACCCGCCAGCTTTCATGCCAGAGTTTTTGAATAACTTCAAGGTATGATGAGAAGAGCAACAGTTTTGTTGTTTTGATCAAACATTTGTGTTTCGTGATCCCCGTGTTTGATTTACTCTCTTGTGTTGTTCATGTTTCAGCCCAATCTCTCTCTCCTCATTTAACCTGCTGCATGTCAGTCAGCCTGCCCCGCCCACTCTCACCTGTTCCCACTTTAAATTCAGCACAGGTTTCACCACTCCTCATCAGCCAAGTTATATATATTCTGTCTCACTCTGTCTTTAGATCAGTGGCCCATTGTTGTTGTTCTGCTGGTTTGCTGCTTTACTTTCGTCATGTTCCTTCAGAGTATGTCATTGAAAGCTTCCACGTCAACAGTTTGTTTTCTTTTTTTTAATAAACGAGTTTTGGTTTAAGCTCCTCATGTCAGGTCTGGATTCTGGGTCCCTGCCTCCTGCCAAAGCTGACACTTTGGACTAGCTGCAGGTGCAAATCCGAGAGCTTTGTTCAATCTTTGGATCAATAACCTGCAATTTAATACAAAAATCTTATTAAGTGTAATATTTTTGAGTCAATCCAAATTTATTCTCTGTCTTTTATTTACCTTTAAAAACATGACAGTTGGAAAAACTAATTTAGCAGGATGTTTTGTAAGTTAGAAACAAGACATTTATCTAATTCATGAGTCAAGTAAACAAGAAATAAATGCAATTACATTTGCAAAGTGAGTTTAGAAAATTGATTTTTAACATTTGCAGGCATTACTCATTTCATATTGATTTATATGTTATACTTTAGTTAGCCAGGCTGGTGTTAGTAAGCATAACAGTCCGAAATAAAAGTTTTTTATTGTAACTATATTTCTCCCTCATCAAATATTTTGCATACCTACAGTTAACTTTACAACAACACCCTCATTAAGTTTCTTTTTATGACTTCAGTAAAGCATTCATAAATACACGGACAAAAGATAAACGAAAAGAACAATTTCAGATTTACTTGAGCTGTAGCCGAGAGGAATCAAAGCCAAAAGCAACCTACTCGCGCTCGAACATCCTGACACTTCTTTGTTTCTCATGTTCTCTTCTATTCATCTGTTCTCTCTCATGAGCTCATCCACCGCCTCCCTCTGCTCACCTCCTTCCCTTCGCTCCGTAACCAACAGCAGTTTATCAGATTCTCTGGCTGCAGTGGACTGATACAAACACTGCCCAGGAAAGAGGCTTAGTTATACAGAACACAAATCAGGAACACCACAAGAAAACTAAAAAACATAGATGTGAAAATAAAATATAACAGCAGCTGTACACCTCCACTCCCCCACCCCTGGATAAGCCTGTTTTTAGTGCACAATGTTCTGACATCATCATGCCTTGTTGTCGTTTGTGTTCTTATTCAGGCGATGCATCAGTCCGCTGCGAGCAGCTGGACCTTTTGCTCCAGTGGGGGGCCGAGTTTCGTCAATCTTCATCCCAATCACCTGAAGGAGAGAAGGTTCTGGAAGACCTGGTGGCCTTCGATGTCATCCTGGGAGACCTGAACTTTGACAACTGTTCTTCAGGTGTGCAGAGCTAATAAATCAGTGTATTTCACACCTTTTTTTTTTCTCATTTGTAACCAGTTCACAAACCAGCAGGACGCAGGTTTCTGTCCCAGACCTCTCACAGTGGAAGATATTATAATAAAATAATAATGATCTCAGCATTAATAATTAAACCTTATGGATTTTAAACATGTGGAAGTACCTGAATATTGTAAATAACTCCAGTTTATTTTATTTCTTTTAATTTGTTAAAGAAAAAAACAAGAATTATTTACTGTTTTTGGCTGTATTGGGTCTACTTATTACACCAGTGGTTCCCAACCCTGGTCCCTGAGGAACACCATTCTGCATGTTTTACTTGTTTCCCATGCTTTGACACCTGTTGTGAAAAAATGGGTGATTAACAGGCTTCTGCAGAACTTCAGGAAGTAATTGAATCATTGAATCAGGTGTGTTGGAGTAGGAAACAACTGAAACATGCAGGATGGTGTTCCTCAAGGACCAGGGTTGGGAACCATGGACTTATACAAACAAAACTGCAGCTGTAACACCAGAATGTTCAAAGGGCAAATTATTAGTTAATTTTACTCACTAAAAGCTTTAAATATGGCTCCGTCCTTACCATGACAGACCGGAGCAATGCCTTCATTACTGTAAACAAGGCCTCTGTTCATCCATCCACCCATTACAACTTGTGAATGAAACTCTACTGGAGGCAGAGACTTATCCCCGAACCGGAAGGAGCTTTCCATCTTTTACCAGTTGAGAACCATGACCTCGAACTTAGAGGAGTTGACTTTCATCCCAGCTGCTTCCTGCCCATCCTAGCGCATGCTGACAGGCATGGCCTGAAGACTCCAACAAAACCACATCATCTTCAGAAAGCAGAGACGAGACCCTGAGGTTCCCAAACCATGCTCCTCTCCATGACTTTGACTTAAGACGTTGAAAGCTTCCACGTCAACAGTTTTTCTTTTTTTAAAACGAGTTTTGGTTGGTCCATGAACACCACAAACAGAATCGGAGACAAAAGACTGACCTGGCAGAGTCCACCTTTGTGCCAAGAATAAAGACACAATTATTGCTTTGGTTCAGATCAGATAATCCTTAGAAGTGATCCTGACCCTCCACACTCCCACCTTTACACTGCCATGTCCAACATATCTTTTACTGTTCATATTTATCAACTAAAGTTAAAAAAAAATGCTTCAGTAAAAATTTTCCTCAGAACTAAAATCCTGCAGCTCGGGCGGAGGAGGAGACGAGTCACTTTACAGCTGAGACTTCTGGAGAATCCATGTTTCATTTTCAATAAACATGAAAATCACAATAATGAGCTGCAGGCGTGAGCATGGTCCGTCAGCTCAAGTCGCAGTGGACGTGTGCTACTTTTATTGTACAGCATGCAGAGTTTCTAGTACAAGTTGTAGAATCATAGTTGGATCCCTTCTATAAATAACTCAGTAAAAACGAAACGAGTAGAACATTTCAACGACACTGGTGTTTAGGATGAGTACTTTCATATAATCAACTAAATTATTTGTATGTGGAGTTCTTTGAAGTTTGTCATAATTATCTATACCTGACTCTGATATTCTACACTGCACGAAAAATAAATATTTAAAAGATGTTTTTTGAGCCATTCTGCACCCAGCATTTTATTTAGGAAGGTTTTTGGGTTGTTGTTTTTTTTACGTTAGATAATACAAACATAAAACTAGGTTTGTAACATGTTTATTTCTGCAGTTATTAAATTTACAGTAGATGAGTGTGATCTTTACCACCATCTAGTGTTGAACTAAAATGATAAATCCGTCTACTGTATTTTTCAGACTATAAGGCACACTGGATTATAAGGCGCAATATCAATGGATGGGTCTGTTTTCATACATAAGGCGCATTAAGCGAAAAAAAAAACCCCAGAGGAATCCAACTTTATTCAACTCATTCACAATAAACATATAAAATTTGTTCGAGGTCAGTAAGCACAACCAGAATTAGTGGGCACACCTGATTATAAGGCTCATTGTCGATTTTTGAGAAAATTAAAGAATAAGTGCGCCTTATAGTCTGAAAAATACGGTACATGTCATGTGAAAGGTCTCAAATTTGCTGGCATGTTTGGAAATAAAGACTCCAACAGAACAGGTATTGTTCTGACTCGGTTTTTGATTGCTTTAGGTAAACCTTTGACTGTGCTTTGTGTGTTTTATTTTGTTCAGAGGACAAACTGGAGCAGCAGCATGCACTTTTTACTCAATACAAGGACCCGTGTCGCCTGGGGCCAGGGGAGGACAAACCATGGGCTCTGGGTGAGCCAACACAGTTTTCACCACACGTCACATTCACTGCAGCGATAAAAACACTACAAGTGTATATCACTCGTTCTGGAACACCAGAGTGAGCCATGCAGCGGCTGCAGAGCAAAGCAGACCAACATCTGCCTCTTCAGGCTAAATCAGGATGCACCTTCAGTGTGAATGAAAATATTACAAGTGCAGAGCCTGAAACAAGAGCATGACTAACACAAACACTGGACCGTTTGGATATGAAGCAACATTTAGGTCACTGGTATTTTAAGGATGGAGTGGAAAGGAAAGCGTGTAAAGGCTTGTTAAAAAAAAAAAGCATTTATTTAGGATTTTTTTTTTTGTAAGGTAAGCTGGAAAAAACTAAAACAAAAAGATCCATGCTTCATGTTTATGAGGAGATAGAAAAAAAAAAAGAAAATGGAAAGGGATGAATGGATCAATAAATAAAATAAGATTATCCTGTTTCTTAAAAATATCTAAAGAAGTTCAAAGGGCTGTCATTTTTTAAAGCTACACTGCTTTTCATCTCACAGTTTTAAACTAAGATCCTCTTATGTTGAGAAACGACACATTTATAGCTATTTTGGTCAAACCATGAAAATAACATTATAGGCACAGTCTCATGCAATTTTGCAGTATCTTTCATAATATTTCACTAACGGTACCTACAAACGAACACACACACACACAAAGAGGCATGGGAAAAAACACTGTCGCCCTTTTGCCATAAGCTGCAGACAATCATAGAAATAAATGCAGCTGTGTGTCGGGTGTTGCTGTGAAAATGTTTCTGATCTTTGGAAATTCTCTGCGTTCATCACGCAGGGATTTTTGCTGCATTATAGTCCAGTGAGAACCTCCGCTGGAATAATTAAACAAAACAAAAGTAAGCACAGAATTAAAGCTGTTCAAGTAAAACTTTTCTGTAAAGTGATCCACAAACATGTCTCTTATCAATACATTTGAGTTTGTGTCGCAACTAAAATGGTGAAAATCAAGAAGTGTCTCGTGTTTATAAGGAAGTGGGCAGATCTGATGTGAAAGAGCATTTATTCTGTTCGTACACGCCGCAGCCTGTGGGTGACGTCAGGATTCATGAGCTCAGATAAACTGAGGTCGCATTAAGAACCTGAAACAGGGAAGCTACTGTATGTCAAACAACCTGAATCCTCAGCTGCTTCAGTCCAGTGATCAAGAACCTCCTTTTTGACGTGAAGAATATTGCCTGCTCATCAGACAGCCACTTCTCATAAGAGCTCCCAGTCTGCGTGAACTGACTGGAGTAACTTCAGAGATGCTCTCCTCATACTGAGTGTTTTAACCACGTTATCCAGCCTACGGCCTCGCAGCCTCAATGTCAAAAGCCTGTTGGAGTGCTCATCAGTCTCTCGCTGTCACATTTCGCCAGCGTACTGTGGTTTGAGGATTAAAAAAGCGAGATGAACGCACGCCTAACAGCGTCTTCTGGTGCCACTGGAAGCAGCCTCAACATGGGGTGGATTATAAAACATAATAAGCAACAACGATTAATTATGAAGGTGCAGAAATATTTTACTATTCAATACAATTGATATTTTTATAATGCCAAATTACAACAGAAGTTATTTCAGGGCAATGAACAAATACATTCATATGCATAAAATTAAATTAGTAACATTATTGATGTAAGGCAGGGTATCCAGCAGATTGTGTTGAGTCTTCATTTTGTCCTTTAAGTCATTAAATTATAAACATTAGATTTTTGATTTGGCTCTTTGGCAGTTACTCAAAATGATACCCACATTTTAACTTTGTCTTTTCTTTAATTATAATGGCGGGGGGAGTGGTGGCGCAGAGGCTAGAGAAGGTGGGCCAGTGATCCGAAGGTCGCTGGTTCAACTCCTGGAACCGAAAACATAAAAAATGTGAGTGGGAAAGGTGAAACCTGTCTCCACCTTCATTTGCCCCACCCTGGTCCATAAGCAAGGCCCTTAACTCCCACCATCTGCTCCCCCGGGTGCCCCAGATAGCAGCTCTCTGCTCCACACAGAGGGCTGTGGTAGCTCCGTGGTCTGTAGTTGTGTCAGGAAGGGCATCCTGCGTAAAAACAATCGTCAAATCTTCGTGCAAGTGAGTTCGCTGTAGCAATCCCTGAGGAAGGGAGCAGCCGAAAGAAGAAGAATAGCCTACAGATGAAAGTGGGCAATAAAGTTTTTGCCCGTGTCTGTTTGGCTGTGACCAAAACGATGTTTGGGTACTTTTTTAATAAAACTTGCAAAAAGCAATCATTAGATGTGCATCTAAAACGTTTTAAAACTCTTTTGAAGTCAGCCCAGTTCAAGATGGCCACCAAAACTAATTAACCTAAGCCTACACAAAAGTGACTACGACTTGCTGTATTTTACAGATAATGAGCTAAAACTGGTGTGGTTATAGCTGAGAGTCATTCATAATGCATACTCTGAGCAAAAAGTACGAGGCAGCACATCAAGTTATTGTTAAGGTTAAACAAAACGGCTACAACTCCATCATTTTTCAATGCAAACTCATCTTCGTCTAAAACCAGAATTAAAGGCAGTGAGTGAAGGAAGGTTGGGCTGTTAAACTGTGTTATCATTGCATGGATATTTTTTGCTTAAATCAATAACATTACGTGTATAATTAAGAGGTGTTTTTAAAGCTCATTAATAAGTCTTGGTATCTTACCGTCAAAAGCTTGTCCCAGACATCTATTGAATGAAAAAGGTAGAAAATGACTGTCAATCTCCACAAAATGGATGTTGACACAGAACTCAAAGACTAATAATTTAAACAACATAATCATTAAAACAGCACTTCGACAGCCCATCACTGGTCTCAACATGTCCTCACCTGACTGACGTGTACCAATCAATCACAAGGCATCGGCGACATAAAAAACATGGTAAAATGTAAAGGTTCAGAGAGAAATTGTAAATTTAAATGATAGATTCTGTCGTTTTTCCACTATCAGTCTTTCAAGCTTCTCTGATTTTAGAAAAAAAAATAAAAACTTTTACTTCAACTGCTAATTTACTTAAAAGAAAGCATACAAATACTTGGTTTTTGCCATAATAAAAAAGCATAATACAGTACTTGTCCAGATTTATAGTACTACAGCACAGATTTGTTTAATGATAACAGTGAAGGTTCTTGGTTTGGTCAAGTACAAAAAAAATACAAAAAAAAAACATGCCTACTGTGAATTCACATGTCAATTTTTTTAAACAACTTTTTCCTTACTTAGATGTTTTTGTTGCCAAAACCCACAATCTAAATCTGTTACTTTACATTTTCATGCAAACACAGATTAAAGAACAGTTCTGGTTTATTTCAGCTGGAAAAACTTCAATTTTTTTATCTATTGTGCCTCTTTGGGTCAGACAGGAAGACATTCTGAAACACTGCATGCTTCAATAAACGGTCGCTGCTCTGAAAATAAAACCGCACCCATCCATATTTTTAACCTGCTTTTTTAAATTTCTGACTTGCAAGAAGCTGGTGCCGTCTCTGTGGGAGAGGCAGGAGACAAACCCAAAGTCCACCACAGGGACACAGAGACAAACAGATAACCAGCCCTTCAAATGAACAACAAAGAATTTGAAATAAATAATTGAAGAAACTTACAGGTTTCATCCCAACCAGTAAAACGTAACCTCCCCTCTCGTCGTGGACAGCTGACAAACAACATTTGAGCAGTAGATGTTCTGTTTTTACGTGATTTATTTGAACGTGTCATTCCACAGGCACTCTGCTGGATCCCAGTGGCCTTTATGACGAAGATGTCAGCTCAGCTGAGAGTTTACAAAAGTGAGTCACGCACACATCAAGTGACATCTTCTGTTACTTGAGAGGGCACTTCTTTCACTTTAATGAACTTGTTCTACAATTAATGTAGCGATGAAACATGGTTGTTTACTTATGATGACGTTGTTGTTCACAGATGTCACACCAAGTGCTCACTTTTATTTAAATCCATACTCTAAAACTGATGTATATTCCTGTGTCTCTGTCAGAGTGATGGAGAATGAGGATGGGAGGAAGGAATACCTGGTGTTTCCTCCTAGTAAGAACCATTGTCCTGCCAGTGGTCAGAAGGGGAGGAAGATCCCACTGAAGGGAAACGGACGGCGGATCGATTACATCCTCTACAGTGACGAGAGCCTTCAGCAGGACTGGAAACTGGTAGGATTTGATAAAATATGGATGCACAGACACATTTTATTTTATTTTTTCCCCTTATTAAAAAAACAGTCTGTTGAGGTAAACTCATCTTGTCAGTAAAGAAGTGATCAGTTCTGATAGATTTGCTTTTATTAAGACGCTCATGAAACCTTTATTTCCCGAGAGATGTTTTCTCTAGTCTAGACTCAGGAACAAAAGCACAGCGACACAGACAGGAATCAAATGAATACAAACAATAGTGTCTCAGGAGTCTTTGTCAGGGATTAGAAAATCAAATCACCTCATTTCCATCAGGATGTGCCCCTCTCATTCTGCCGCTTTCAGTCTGACTCATTGCCTTCCTCTCAGACTGCAGCCTGGTGCTGCCACCTGGTGGCCGACAACAGACACTTCAGTTCAAGCTCATCAGACGTTTTCACTTGTTCGTTTATAAATCTGTTTTTCTTCCACAAAAAAATATTAGTAATAATAAATAAATAAATTAAAAAAATTACCAGAAGGTATTTTCACAGGTGTTTTTAGGTGTCTGGAAATGAACCAGCATTCTGCAGTAAAGCAGCTTCATTCAAAACGTTGGATTTAGGTGTGTGTTTTTGTAGCAGTAAGAGTATTTTTGTCAGAAACGTGGCATTAGGTAATTGTTGGGAAGTGCCTTACATGCCTTTGAAAAAAAAATAAAACACTGATTGGAGGTGATCATCATCACTTCCTGTCTAAGGAAATAAATTCAATGACATTTAATTGTTTGGAAATGGCTCAGCTGCTTAAAAATCACCATGTGCTCATAAATAACACCAATCACCATGTGGGTAGGTTTGCTAAGGTCAGAGTGAGACAAGTTGCAGTGCTTTTTAGCACCTGATGTGTTTATTTGTGCAACTAAATCCAGTTACTTCAGTCTGATTTTGACATGTTCTTCATTGTGTAGAAACCAAATGCAGGCAGACATGGGAGACTCAAAAGTAAAATAAATAATTTCTATTTATTAAGCAAAAACAAAAGCTGTCGGGGCAGCAAAACTTATATGAACGAATGGAAAAATGGAGAAACAGAACATGACAGGCTGTGGGAAGCACAATACACAAGCAAGGTGGAACACAGAGACGATGACTTTAAAGCAGTCCTTCTCAAATAGTGGGGCGCGCCCCCCCGGGGGGCCCGGGGCAGGGCCTTTGGGGGTGCATATGACCCCGGGGAACATTTTGCAGCAGGGAGTAGTTTTTTGTTTGGTTGTTTTGGCACCATTCTCATTTTGTCAGGGTGCGTTCGGCAACAGTTTGCTCGGGTCCGGCAACTCTTAGGCTTACTAATAATAAAGTTATGAGCAAATATGACTGTCTTGTCATTTTGGGAGCCATGCTTGAACTGTGTCGCTCCCCCTCTGCTGCTGAGACGATAATTAAATAACTCCAACACCTCCTCAGTCCTTCGCTGCTGTTTTTATGACGCTCTGGACGCTTGTCACCACAGCACGCATGCGACAAAGAGTATAAACTCAAAGTGAGAGCAACACCTGCCCCCTCTTTCCTCTTTCACATTGATGAATTTTTTTAGTTTTATCGATGATTTTGTCAAAGCACAATTTTGACGTGTTATTTTAATTGTTGTAAATACAGAATAAAGCTTAACAAATGTTAGGACTCCATTCTTTGCTAACAAAGTATATTTTATGTCATTAAACAACTTGTCAGGTTCTTCTCTTGTGAGCACGATCCCCAGGACCACCCCACCCCCAACTCGCTTTCGCTCTTGCGCTCTTTGCAACGTCTCTGCTTCTGCTGCACTGAAGACCAAGTCCAGGTCCAGCTAAACGTTGAGCAGGAGCTGAGTGTTGCAGGATCATGCTTCAAACTCCGCTTCAAAAAGCTGTGCACTGCAAAACGTGCTCATTGTAGCCACTGATCCTGACTTCCTCATTTTGATTAAAAAAATAATAAATCAGCACAAATGATTTTATTCATTTTTGTTTGGTAGGTCATAGTGTTGTATATAACACTCCTGACTTAAAATGTTGCTGATCAATTTGAATTTATTATTATTTATTGATTATATTTTATTTTATTTTTCAGTATCAAATGGTCAAAAACGTTTACTTGGATAGATTTTTTTAATTATTATTTCAGGCAAATTGAAGCACTTTAAGTCTTTTCTGTTACAGACTAAAAAATAATGTTAATAAAGTTATTCTTTGTTGATCTATATTCTTTTTTCTTTAATGTTAATAAGGACACAATGTTATGCAGATGTGTACTTATAACAATTTTATAGACAAATTATACTATTTACAGTTGCGGCGGAGAGTTGGGGAGCGCAAAATGTTTACCTCTTCCTGGGGGGGGGGGCAAAACAGAAAATAATAGAGAAACACTGCTTTAAAGAGAGATTAAGGAGACAACAAATGACAAACACCTGGGGTGGTTAGAATTGGAGACAGGTGAGACAGGAGCTGACAACAAGGAAGAAAACACTGGAGAGCACAGAAAACACAAGAATCTAAAGAAATAACTGAACAAAAACACAGATTCTCACAGATTTCTTGAAAAGCTCTGATAAAAACACCACTTTAATTCTATATTAAAGCTCAGCTGACTAAAGCTGTACTTACCTTTTACATATGGTCTAAACCTGCAAAATAATTACATAAAAACACAAGGTCTATTAACACTAGATAAAAAAAACAACCTTTAAAGTTTGAAACGTTTGCTGGTTTGTCAAATCATGAACAGCTGAATGGAAAGGATCTGCAAGAAACCAGCACAAAGATCATCCTGCTTATTGGTTCCTACATTATCTGCTGCAGAGAAAACATTTATAATACATCAACTAGTCAAATGTTTTATTTCTGTGTGGTAGTTTAAGTTTTAAACTGTGCATCATACCTCCAAGTTAGAGAGACAAAAATGTTTCTAGTATGCATGGCTTTAGAAACATCTGCAGGTGTTAATATTATTTTTAATTCATTATTTTTTTCTATGCATGTAATTAAAAACAAAACAGCCTGTAGTATAATGAAACAAACTGTTGAAGTGAATGTAGAAAGACAATATATAGAAATTTAGCTAAAATCCCAGTGAGTAATTTCAGATAAATCCTTCAGCATTACCAGGAAAATCAAAGTTCTGACACAAACTAAAATCTCCCTGCTAACACATTTATGTTCTTTTGCAACATTTATATGTGAATATAAAAATAAACCCCGAGGATGAGGACAAGCCCAGCGGACATGAAAGAAAATAGATCATTTTTAATGAAACAAGATGACATCAACCAGAAACTGGTGAAACTCTTCCTCTTCTGAGCAGCATTAACGTTTTCCAGAAACATGCTATTTTTCTATATCAAATCATTTTGTTTTCTCGTGACATTTTATTTATGAATAGCATTTAAAACATCTGCTGTAAACCAAAATGCTCCACAATTTAAAAAGAAAAAAAAACACAAAAAGTACTTCTATGTACTTATTAGTGCCTGTTTTGTTGTCACTTTATTGGGGACTGCCTAGTATAAGGCAGGCATCTATTATTATCCACCTGACAAGGATTTCTTAACTTTATATCTTACTCTTACATCAACTTTAACGAGGCCTGAACCGCAACGTGTACCCCCTCAAATGTTATATCAAAACGACCAGCTCGTCACCGTGATGTGTGCTATTACTTTTATTGGCGTTTCACGTTACCACGACGATGTAATTTGCAAACAAAGACAAATGTTCCCCATCACATACTGAATCCAAATCAAAAATCCAAGATGGTCACCATAGCTTAAATAAAAAAATAACTATAACTCACTGATTTTTTTTTTTTTTTTGCGTATTAAGCTGAAATTTGATATTATGGTAGCTGAGAGTGAACCTCGACACATAGTACTGTCAAATAAAAAAATTTAAATGGCCGCAGAGTCACAGTCCCCATCAAAGTTTCTCCAGGAGCTTTCTAGTTCTTGTGTATTACACTTTATGATTTTATATGTTCATGTGTCATACAAGTTAATATTTAGTTGTAAAGTAATTCTTGACCAGCTTTTGTGGGGAGAGTTTCATGCACAGTGTGGATAAATCTGACCTTCTCTTGCAGGAAATTGAAGACTTCAGCTTTGTGACCCAGTTGGCCGGCCTCACTGACCACCTGTCTGTAGCCATGCGCCTGGCTGTTTCCACCGGAGAAGAGGAGCCTTAGATCGACCGCCTGAGCTTTCATCTCGAAATACTGCCATGGCGGAGCGAACGGGAAGAAGACAAGACCTTACGAGTTTACAGATACAGAGCAGCGTGAAGAAATGATTGAGGGGACGGCAAGTAGACGGATGAATCAGTGGGAGAGCGTTCAGAGAAGTGGAGAAGAAAAAGGAAGAGTGAAAGACTCTGACAGGGAGAGATAAGCTGGGGAATTCAGATTAGGAAGTCTGAGATATTCATCTTCCTGGGTAAATGACCCACACAAACACACTCTAAATACTGCATCAGCCACAAGAGAGTGGCTCTTAGACTGTTGGGCATCGCCTGGCCGCTCCTCCGGCACTCCCTGCAGAACTGAATCAGAGGGTTTGACTTTGAGTGGTGTTTCATGTAGCCAGTACACACATTCCTTTGATCGGATCTGCTTTAGTTGTAGTTTAAATATAATCTTTTTTAAAGACTCCAACTTCAGGGACGGTCAGATGCTCGTTGTTTAGCGTATAAAAGGAAAATGTAAGTGAAGCGAAGCTGCTGACCAGCCTTTACACTGACCATCTGTGTCCTTGTGTCGTGCTTCTTTCCTATTAGTCAGTTTCACTGTCAGTCATTCACGTGGCTGCCCTCACGCCATTCCCAGGAGCCTCAACAAGTGTCTTTTTTTGCTTTAAAAAAAAAAAGAAGAGTCTTTCTAAATAAAATTTAAAAAAACTATTTCTATTGTTGACACACCACTTTTTATAGAAACTTTAAATGCCTGTTTAATATAAGATGCTATGTTTCTAAAGAGAGATTGTATTAAGGGACCAGAAATCAGAGGAAACAGCTGCTTGTTGGATGCAATGTGATGCTTTTAGCATGTTCTTCAGCCATGACTGATAACAATTAGACGATCCTTTTTGATATAGCTTTCCTGATGCATGATGGGAAATGGTTTACGACGCTAATATAGCGGCTTGATTCCGGCTGTTTAGAGATTTGGGTTCCTCGTGGAGCTTTTTGCCCTGAAACACGCAACTGTGTATTTGGCATTCGTGCATGTGCGACAAACAAAACTGTATGTGCAGGAACATACGGATTTAGGTAACACAAGCACACAGCCACACACATTTTCTACAGGGGAGTTTCAGGGAATGGGGGAAACCTATATTGGCGACCATATTCATGATGTGGCGTTTTGTAAGACGGTCTGTTGACACGGTGTCAGGGTCAGTATTTACTCTGAATGCAGCACGGGCTTCAACCACGTTGCGACACGCACGGAAAACAAGATTTTAAAGACCTGCAGGGTGACACAAAAAATGCCAGGTTGAAAACAATGACCTTGCCCATTAAAAAATACAAATCCTCTGCCCTAAATACACAATCAGGTTTGAAAAGCAGATAAACTGTTTAGACTGTTCAAACTGGGAACGGAAGACTTATCTGTGAAATTTGGTATTTTAGAAAGATTGACTAGAAAATGGCAGAATAAATCAGATCAATGACAGTCTAAAGATTTAACAATATTAAATATACATGTGTATTTCTTCTTTTAAATTGAAAATAGCATTTTTTGAATAACACATACCACCTGCTGACTGTCATGCCAAAGTTTTAGGCTCAAATAATGTTATGCTGAGTTACAGCCTTTTAAAAAAAACCTGTGCAATGTCAGGCGATGATACAATATCTTGCATCGTGCTTGGAGTACACATTGTGAATGACTGTCAGCTACTACCATGCCAAATTTTAGCTCAATTTCTGCAAAATTCAATAATCAGTATTGGTTGCTTAGCCGTGGCAGCCGTTTTGAATTGTGTTGACTCCAAAGTGTATTTATTTACACGTCCAATAGTTAATCTAATAGTTTCATTAAAATCGGTCCAGTTAGCATGCTTGTACTATTCTGGGCAATTTCCTTTAGGGTTTGCAGATGTTTAGAAAAAATGTGCATCCCAACCATTAAAAGCACTTCGCTGACACAAGAGTGAGTGTAAAGCGTAAACAACACTGTGCTGCCCACAAAGAAGCCTGTCTTTAAATGGAATTGCTTCTCTCAGACATGGTCAACGCAAACTAATTAAATCTGCCTAATTGATCAATTAACCAATCAGTTGGTCCACCTGAAACTATTGAACAATTTTAACTCTCAGCTAAAAAAATCATATTATGGAACAGCCTTCTTGGCAGACATCTGTAATTTTGTAGGAGCTAACAAGTTGGATTTGTTCTTAGAGAGCATCAGATTTGGTCACATGTTAATAAACAATAGTTTAATATTTTGGGAAGCCATGTATTGTGTCCAGGTTCTCATCAGTCTGTATTTTTGTTTCAGATGCATCTGTAAAACCATCTTTAAAGCTTGTCTTTCTAACTAAAATGTGCGCAACAGGAAGAGTTTTTTAGACGCTGTGTGTTTTGCACGGTCTGCACAGTGAGCAGTGTTTACAGTGTTTATTTTCTAACAATCCACCCAATGGTTTAGGCGTGAAGAGTCACTTTCAACACGACGCAGCTCATGTTGTTGACTTTTCCAGTCGAAATGTGTGTGACATAAAGTGATATGTTACGCTTGAGTTGAACACGCCAGCTGTTGTATGTTCTTTTTTTAACACACGGGGTCATCTGGCAGCTTGGTCACGCTCTGTCTCTTCATGACTCACATATTCTAATAATTGTGACTCACATACGTTTGTATCTGTGCTTCACCGTGTCTATCTTTTTACTTTATGAATCACTGCTTGTGTTTAGGGGGAACAAAGTGGATCAACTTTTAAAGTATTTGTGGAAAAACTTGTGTAAATACACCACAGTGACTGACAAGGTGCCACAATGTCTGAGAAATGTTTTAAATCTGCAGGTAAACATGATATCACAATCCTAATTTAGTGCATTTAATTAATAACTCAAACTTTTCAGCTGTTCTGTATGTTCCATAAAATCTGAAAAATGCTGATTGTTTAGGTCAGTGGTTCCCAACCCTAGTCCTTGAGGAACGCCATCCTGTATGTTTTAGTTGTTTCCCTGCTCCAACACACCTGATTCAATGATTTAATTACTTTCTCATGTTCTGCAGAAGCCTGTAAATCACCCATTTATTAAAGAGCAGAAAAACAACTACCGGTAAAACATGCAGGATGGTGTTCCTCAAGAACCAGAGTTGAGAACCCCTGGTTTATGTAACAAGACTCGACGTGATATGTTTGAATGGAGATGGTCATAATTTTATTCATGTGATTAACATATATTTTGTGAATTGTTTATAGATTCAAGTAAAATCAAATGAACTGCATAGCTTTAACTTTGGTACAGAAAGACTGTGTGATGGGATCATGACGTTTCAGTCAACGTTTCAGTGATCCACGTTCAATTAAATCTAAAAAATAAATATAATGGTAGAGAGCAACAAACCTGAAGCCAGAATCATAAAAGTTTTTTCAATTTAGCCTTTGAACAAATTAAATGATTTGTCGTAAGTTATAATTTTATTTCTGTCTCTTGATGAGCAGGTCTCCTTCCTAACCCAAACACCACTCTGGACCTTTGAGCAAGGCACTTAACCCCCACCATCTGCTCTCAAACAGGTCTCTCTTGAAAATGAGTCCTCGTATCTCAATGGGACTACCTGTATAAATAAAAGTTAAATAAAAATAAATGAAGTTTGCTGTGGCAGCTCTCTTAAATTAAATATATTTTAAAAGTTAATTAGTTGTAGAAGTGCATCCAATGATTATTTTCTGAGTGAGATTCATGAGATATTGCTGCTTTGCCTTTGGTGACGGGCGATAATGAAAAGTAGTCAGCGTTGCCAAACGTTTTCAACAAAAACCGCAAAAGTGTGACAAGAAAATTTCCTAAATGTTGCCAAAGAAACTTAAAAGTTTCATTTGACGTTTGCTGTTTTATTTTCCTTATTTCATTTTAAGAATCATTATTACTGGTGGCATAAAGAACGAGTCGTTTCTTAAGGTGTGTTCTCAGGTTGGATTTGCTTGATAATTAAATTAATCTTTGGCTAAAACAATGTCTTAAATATTTAAATCTATAGTTTTCTCTAAACTGAAATGGACGCAAGTTCAAATTACATAACATTGTTGCAACAATTGCTTCATTAATGCAGAAATTCCAACTGTGGACAAGTTTATTTTCATGATAAAGAAATAAGATGTAAAGGATTAGATCGTCTGCATATATGAATAAAATCACCGCCGTTTGGTTTAAGCTCATCTAAATGAAACCTGCTTTGTACACAATGTTAAGTAACTGACCATAGATCTGCCAACAATGATCAAATGACACCACTGATGCTCGTTGCTTCTCGAATCAACCTAAAACCTCAACCTTTTGACCTTTAGACGTCGAGCGTTTCAGTAAAAAAAATCCAGCCAGAGTAGCTTCTGACGCATCTCGTTTTCCGTGTGGCACCGTTGCAAACGACAATCAAGCAACTAGATTTAGCCAGCCGTAACCTCTGAGTCTCCCAGGTTTTATAGCGGAGCCATCTGAGAAGCAACAACACAAACAGGATGATCCAAGCCATGTCAGAACCAACAGTCGGAACATTTAAGAACCCAGCGGTGCTAGAAGATGACCAACACAAAAGATCATACAGGCTATGAGAAACACTTGCACCTAAACTACGATTTATTGGTTTGTTTTTTGCTTTTGGTGTCGAAATAAACAAAGCTGTGGATACGTTTCTGACTGTATAACTGAAAAAAGTTGATTTTTCAAAACCAAACTGTCCCTTTTTGTGTCCGATGTAGGATAAAGTTGTTCAGCAGTTAGTTTGGGAGTCCAGCTCTGAGCTTGCGTAGCTGCATGTACGGTAATAACGCTTCAGGCTTGTAGTCGCAATAGAAGTGATGCCTCACTTTGCTATCCTTTCCCGCTTTGATTTTATATAATTTCATGTTTTTTTTGTTTTTTTTTGTCTTTGGTGGGGACTGTTTATTTAAAGGACTTGGTCTCTGTAATTTGACTAAGGGGTTAGTTGTTTTTCTCTTTCTAAGCGTCTTTAACAAACTGCTTATTTTGTTCTGCTTTTTCTAAGAAAAAAAATATTAATTTCTCGCTATATTTGTGTCCTGTGTCATTTTTGACGCCCTTTTCTGAGCTGCAGCCAAAGAACATGTGGATTCTATGAAAATCAGCCGTCAAGTTAATGCAACAACAAACTGGTTAACGTGGTTGTCCACAAGTTCTGTATGAGGGAAAGGGCAACACTGAAGCTGTGTGCTGATTTATTTTTATTTCCTCTTTATGTTCCAGTGTCATCATCTAAAAATATCACTTGTCGAATGCAGACCAGAGGAACCGTTTCT